TCGTCCACCGGTTAAATAATTGACATTGGAAGAGACTGCTAACTGTTCATCATCATGTGTTCCTAATCAGCCGCATTTTATTCCTTATTAAGCATGCCATAAGTCTTCTCGCAGGCCTGGGAAATGTCACGCGTTACTCTTTCAAGAAAAGCCAGCATGCGACTGTGTTTGGAGTCTCTGAGAGGTTTCTCCTCAGCTTGACAGAATGATTAAATATACTCAAGAGTTACGCAGTAAATAAATTAGATACAATAGTTGAATAGAATTTATATCTAAAAATACAGAAAAATCAAGCTAAAGCAAGGTATACGTTCAATAACAAGGAAAGAGGTAGTGTGTCTAACCCAGGAGCCACGATGACCCTGTAATTACCACTGAGACTGCACTATGTTTCCACCCTTCAATCTGAAATCCCTGTGTTTGAACAGCTGCCCAGGACCAGCTGCTTGGTGTACGACTAACGGGGAACCACAAGTCACACAGGACTCTGGAACTAAACCACAAACAGCCCATTTCATTTTATAAAAGCGGATTCTTTCATAGTGAGCACTTTGATAGCAGGTGATCCTAACAGTAATTACATCACTACATCTACTATTTTTATAGACCATAAACATATAGCAATAGTACCCTAATATTTTTTTAAACATCATGTGAGTGAGATTTTTTAAAACATTAAGACATCTATGACCTCACATGTTATGGTTACGTTTACCGACTATTACATGTGGGCACAGCAGGCAGGCTTATGACTATTATTATTGAATATATTCAATTGGTTGAATTGTTCATGCTCCTATGTCTTGTATATAATGAATTCACAGCACTGACAAGCAAATTCTGGGTTGCCATATGTGTAGAATGAATCCCAGGCAATCCCTGCTCAGACTGATTAGAAACAGGACATGTCCTTCATTGTATATATACGTCTGTGTGTAAGGAGGAGGGAGGCGATGGACTCCGTAATTAACTCTGTCACATTTTTACAAGCTGTTAATGAACTTGTATAACTCCTACAATTTCTTGCCACACGTCCATCTGCGACAGTAGAATTAGAAGCAGACACAATATTGTGTCAATTACAATTAGAAAGCTATTAGGAAGCAGATGCAATGCTAAAAGTCATTATCAGAAGTGTTTGAACAGTCCTACTCATCCAGCACTGAAAATATTAATTAAAGTAAATGACACGGAGAGATCGTTGTAACTTCAAACAGCTGCTCTCACATTTGCTGTAGCATTTAACAGCAGTTTTGAGAAGAAATTGAATGTGTCTAAACACAGATTTTGAAAATAAACATCATTTATGTCTAATAAGCTCTGTTTATTTTAGTGGTGTGGTCACACTTAGTTCCATACTTTGGTTCATTATTGGTTCAAAAAAGAGAAAGAAAAAAAATTGAGCATTTGATTCTTTATATATTTATATTCTGCAGCAGAACTTACTAAACACCCCAAGCAATTTTGTACGCTGAGTGTTCTCATTCAATTTGTGCTCATATGATGCTATTTTTATCAGTACAGAAGCCAAGAAGAGCTTAAAAATTAAGAATAGCGGCAATTATTCCTGCATCACACATATGATCTTCTGCAGGGAGACACATATCTGATGTCTGTATTGAACTGTTATGGGCAACATCGTGACTATTAAAAAAACTAAAATACTTGAGCATTCTGAGATTTTGCATCATCTAATATTCAGTGTGCAAATTATACATTGACAATCGGGAAGGGGGACTTTTTCGGTAGTTGCTTGGTAATACATGCTTCAGTAAATCAAATTTGTGAATGTATTTAAATGACATCTAATTTATTGATAAAATGTTTACGCTTTCAGTGTTTTGACGGATATTTTGCGACTATTTTAGAGGCTACTGTAGGTCTAACTATACAAAATATCTGTCTAATTTTCTTTTTTTAGGCTACATGCAGATGTAAACACCAATTTTACAAGAGACATGTTTTGCGAATACTTAAGATGTCTTTCTGTGCTCTAGAACTATCAGTTTCAGACTGTTGAATGTTATTAGCCCTAGCATTGATTGGCATGATTATGCATTCACAATGGTATGAACCATTATGGGGGGGGGGGGGGGGGGGGGGGGGGGGGGGTCAAATGTATATTTATATTATCCATTGTTAATTATTGATATATAAGATATAGATCGGAGATCTGAGAATGCTGATCTCTGATCTATATCTTATAATCTGAGACCCAGAAAAAAACCCCACCCACCAGCCCTGTAATTCGCACCCTGGTTATATCATGTTCTGATTTTTTTTTTAAGACATCTTTGGTGCATGTTGGAGCACATATTTTATCCTAACTGTATAAGGTTTGTGCAAAAGGAAACCAGGATACCAATCTTTTTAGTAGTATACATTTTTGGTGGTGTCAAGGATGGGATGGCAGCATTCACACATTCAAATAAACCATGTCAACAAATCCATTTTATTATAACAAAGTCAGTCAATTGTGAACACAACCCAGATCAATAATATAACTTGACCATAAAACAGGATTACTAACATTATGAGAAAAAACATGTTTAAATGGTTAAATATACCCTCAGGAATGCAATTCTGATTCTGGAACCTGCCAGAGCATGATTGGTCTAATTTTGATTAGCAGTTGCCTTTTTTGTTCCAAACACCTGGCAACCCTAATCAAAAAGGTCAAACATCAGAGGTGAGAACTATGGATGAACTATCAATAATGTAAAGGTAATTTTTCACACTAAAGCTTTTTTCTTTCTTTCTTTCTTTCTTTCTTTCTTTCTTTCTTTTATTTTTTTTGTATGTATAATGCTACAAAAAGCAATGTGACGCCAATATTAGTTTCGCAAACATCTGTTTACATTTCTGCAAATACACTTCCACTTGTGTTTCTTATCACTGAGACAGTTTCAACACTAATCTAGACAAGCACTTGATAAGTGGGATTGGAAGCCTTATCCTAATTATTCTTCATTCATACTAAGTGGATTGTAAAATGTTCAAAGAACAATGAACCTCACAGGAACAAACACAGACTTACCTTTCAACAGACCTATAATATCTATCAATACTGTGATTAACAGATACTTGCATTTTCTGTCAACACAAAGTCTAGCGTGGTTATAATTTTGATGCCTGTTCAGCTTATAAAACAAGACAGTGTCTAAACACACACCGAAAATGCTGCTTTGGCGTGCTTACACATCTTACAACCATCACAAACAACACCATTATTCTTTAAAAAAACAGATAAACCATCAACCACATCATTTTAAACTTAATATTAGCTACTAATTGCGGACTTGTAGACATACTGTACCTTTCAGCATCTCTGATGTCGCTTGTCGTCACACGGTGTCCTGTCCATATTAGTCCATCTCTTATCCGCTTCCTTTCATATCCACAATAGCACTTGATATCACGCCGTCAAATTACGGTAAATTAACCTGTCATTGTGCTGCAGATGTCAGAAATCGAGTCTCATTGCTTCAGATGCGAATGAGGATGCGCAGTTCATTGTCACAATGGTAGAGTCAGTGCAAGCAAACCCCCGCGGTCCAATAATACACTGCTGGCAGACAACGCTCCGGATACGGCACGCGTCAGGAGATGCTGAGAGAGAGCCTCGTGCTGCTGATTCTCTATGCTCAAAACAGCCATTCAGCACAGAATCTAGGCAATGTTTTTGGTGGATAACTGTTTATTATTACGCCCTGAAAATAATGTAGCTACCGACGAATGTTCTGAAATTGCAGCCAAGTTTGGCAAATGTAACTGTCCCCCATTAAATAATTAGCATAGCTAAAACTACAAGAGCGTGAGCCTATTAAAATAAATATAATAATAAAACTATTTAATACGATAACTGAAGATAACGACTAGCCTAATTTTTGACGAATCCGCCATTTTTAACGGCCAAAGTGTCGTCACTTAGCAAAAATCAACGAAGATGCTAACATTGCGTTACTGCAAAGTTCCTGGTTCCCAAACAAGACCAAGATCTAAATTTACAGACAATTGGATGCTTTAACAGGTTATGTATTGGTTTGTGTGTTTATGCAATTGCAAAATATTTGTATGATAATTATTTATGCACAGCAGTTTTACTATAACATTAACGTTACCATTGTTAAACGACATGTAACGTTATCAAAGGCAAATCTAATTTGTGGTCACTGTGGTTTAAGAAGGTCTAGCTTGTTTAATTATAAAAGAACTATGGTTATTTTTTGTAAATAACCGTTAATTAGGTGTGCTAATTAACGTTGTATTAGGTTTTGTTAGTTTAAAAAAAAAGTCTGAACATTTCTGAAAATTTGAAAGTCTAGGCCTACAGATCGTAGTCTGTGACTCACAGATGACTTTAAACTTGCTAATTTCATATCGATATTTTATTTGTAAATATTAAATAGGTGACACGATGGCTCAGTGGTTAGCACTGACGCCTGAAAACAAGAAGATAGCTGGTACAGCTTCTCCTTTTGTTTGTGTGAATATGTGTGAATGCTCCGGTTTCCCCCACAGTCCAAAGACATGAGGTACAGGTGAATTGAATATACTAAATTGGCCTTAGTGTATGTGTGTGAATGAGTGTGTATGGATGTTACCCAGTACTGGGTTGAAGCTGGAAGGGCATCCACTGTGTAAAACATGCTGGTAGTTCATTCCACTGTGGTGACCCTGATGAATATTGGGACTAAGCTGAAGGAAAACAAATGATAATTGAATAATGTGTACTAGTCAATGCTGCCATAAATTATCCTACATTATTCTACATTCTAACAAATTATGATCACTACAGCCATATTTTTAAAATAAGTAATAAAACAAATGTAATTTATAAGAACATTAAAGAGACAAAGTTAGTGTACACAATAATAAAGAGCTTCAGGCTTTCATTAGTCAAAAAATCTGCTGTTTACTTTGGTATTTTTATCAAAATGTATCTAAAAAGGTTACCGCCTGCAGAAGCATCTTTTCTTTTGGCTGTGCTGATAAAAGATGTAACTAAATTTAACACAGTTGGTCATTTCAGGAAAAAGAAGAAAAGCCTAAAATAGATTTTTTTACTCTGTCACATCCATTATGAGCAAGCTTGAACTAACAGGGAAAATTGTTGAGTTACATCCTTAAAGGGACTTTGGTTACATAACTAAAGCATAGTGAATAAACTCTTCTGTGTCCTCTCATTAAAGGCAAAGAAGAAAAAGATGAAACTGAAGAGCAGCTCATATAGCTACAGGATATCAACAAAGTAAACAAGGTAAGCTAAAAAGTTCACATCTTTATATTAAACATGAGTTTAAAGGAGTTAAGACCACTTTGGAAGATGATTACACAGTATGGTTTCACATGTGATTCAAGAAGCGAATTTAGCATAATACGGTTATCTGTTTCTGTCTTTGGTAAACAAGGAAACAATTTTCACCACTGGAGCAACACTTTACTTGAAAAGCATAATTATGTGTTACTTACTAGTTAATTTAAACGAGCAAGCCAAGTCTTCAAAATTTACCCACAACTGCATGATAATAAACAAATTGTTGTCAAATGTTTTGGGGTCACGAAAAACACATGGTACCTCTACAAACCACAGCCATCTAAAGTCATGCTGCTGGCTTCGGTTCTGTCTGATTTTTGAAGGCCACCTTGTGGCCAAGATTTGGTAAAGCACGTAATCAGATTTACAAAAACAGCTGGACAAATCAGTTAAATTTATCAGATTCTCTCCTAATTATTTCAGACGGACAGTTTAGTGTCACTGTAGAAAAATCTGAGAAGATGAGCACAACAAATCAGCAGGGAAAAAGAGCATAATTTCATAGCAAAAAATACCTTTTGGATTTTCTTGCCAATTTAAGGACATTAATTCAACCCTAAAACAACACGAATGTTAAGTCCTAATACATGTTAAACACCTGTTTAACATTTGTTAAAATGTTAAAATTTCAATAAGAAAACATCAAAACATTATGAAAACTTAAAAACAAAGAAAAAAAGAAAAAAAAATGTGTTAAATAAAATAAAAATAAATGAATAAATTGAACGGTTAAAAAAATAAATAAAAACTGTAAAAACAGATGACCATAGCGTGTTTGTAAAAGCCTTTTTTGTACAAAGAATAAAGTGGGGTGAGGTGTTATTAAGTGCCCCTCCCAGTCTCCACCAGTCATCACTCTGTCCCTCAGTCATCCACGGGTTTGTTTGGAGCTGTCAAAACAGCCTGCGATTCGTCAGCCATTCCTCAATGTCTATGTTAATATTACACACTGCCCTCCGTGTCCACAGACTCCCATTTTTTGTTTTTCTAATTATCGATCTGCTCGCTGTCATCATGACCCCTGAGGGAAGAATCCATGTGGAGGCGAAATGGAGCCCAGAGTTGGCAGCGAGCGAACAAGTCCAGCGCACGAAAAGGGGAAATGCACCAAATTCCACTGTGCTCCCCTCAGAGCAGCAGGGCTGGAGCTCAAACTGCTGTTCCCAGCACAAGAAAAGCCTCATCTGGACAACAAAGCACAGAGATGGGCTTGTTTTATTACAGTCCTATCTATCGGAGTCTGAGACTTTGTTTGGCATGTGCACGCTAAATCACTGATTTAATTATAGTTTAAAGATATAGTGATGATCAGTCCTGAAAAATGATAATCTGATTCTTTTGTGTTAATTTAAATATTTATTTAAAAATATAATAAAAATGTAATTAGACTTAAAATATGATAATATATAATCCATAATACAATTAATTCATGATGCCTCATATTTTTATGCTGGCAAAACAAAGCTCTGATTATAATAAATAGTCTTTTTCATTCATAAGACCAATTGTCAGCTTTGGTATAGATGGTATTGGTTATCAAATTTAAATTCACCAAACTTCTAGCACAAGACATGAAATATAATTGAACATAGTTGATTGTTGAAATACTTAGTTGAAATATAGTTGATATAGTTAAAATATACTTTAATTTCCTTGTTCTTCAAAAAACATACTAGGAAAACCAATGAACTTGAAGCCAAACATTTTAATGTGTTTTTAAATAAAATAAAAAATATAAACTAATAATAATATAAATATTTTAAATGCTAAATATAATATTTCATTTATTAAAGCATTTGTAAAACATTGTATAACAGATTATATATTGTTTTTTACCAAATTAACTTTTCCAAAGCTTCTAGCCCAATACATGAAATTTAGTTTATAGTTGAAATAGTTTGTTAAAATGTAGTTGAATGTTTTAGAAACATATAGGAAAACCAATGAACTTGTAGCCAAAATTGTTATTGTGTTTTTAATTTAAAATAATAATAATTCTACTTATAATAAAACTTTAATGTTATTATATAAAAAAATAAATATTCTTTATATAAAAATGCCAAAAATATATCTCTTATTAAATTCTAAATATAACATTTTATTTATCTAAAGCAGTTGCAAAACATTTTAAAACAGGTTACATTTTGTATAGTACTTGATAATATATAATCAACAATACTAATTTATAAATAAAACGAATTAATTATGCCTCAAATTTTTATGCTGGCAAAATATAGCTCTGATTATATAATAAATACTCATTTTCATTTAGTTTTCAAATTTTTATTTAATTTCATTTTTTAGAAATGTTATTGTGTTAGCAAATTTAAATTCACCAAACTTTTAGCACAATACATGAAATATAGTTGAATACAGCTTATAGTTGGTATACTTAAAATTGAAGTTCCTTTTTCAGAAACATACAACGGAAACCAATGAACTTGAAGCCAAACTTTTTAATGTGTTCTTATAAAAAAAATTAAATATATATATAATATAACTAATAGTAGTTAGTAAAACTTTAATATTTAAATGCTATATTTCATTTATTAAAGCATTTGTAGAACATTGTAAAACAGATTATATATTGTGTTTTACCATATGTTTTTTCTTTGCAAAGCTTCTCGCACTTGACATGAAATTTAGTTGATAGTTGAAATAGTTTTTTGAAATTTAGTTAATATAATTTGTCGAATTTCCTTTTTATCAGAAACATACTAAGGAAACCTATAAAATTGAAGGCAAAAATGTTTTTTTGTATTTTTAAATAATAAAAAAATATTAATATTCAATAAACCTTTAATATTGTTACATAAAAATGTATTTTCACATGTGAAAATCATTTGTAAAACAAAGCATATTATATTTTGTAGATTATTTGATATATATATATATAATCAATAGTACTAGTACTAGTAGTATATAATCAATAGTACTAATTCATAAATAAAACTAATTCTTCATACCTCATATTTTTATTCTGGTAAAATAAAGCTCTAATAAGATAATAAATACTTATTTAATTTCCGTTTTATATAGAGGTTATGTGTTTTTAAATGTAAATATACCAAGCTTTCAGCTCAAGACATGGGAGTTACAGTTAATTTTCCTTTTCTAGAATCATACTAAAGAAGCCACTTAACTTGAAGCCAAAAATGTAATTGTGTTTATTATTGAAATGTAATAATTCAATTGAATTAATAATTAAATAAAACGTGTGTTTTATGTCAGCAAAAATATAGGTTCTATTAAATGATAAATATAATATTTCATTTACCAAAACAGTTCTAAAACAATGTAAAACAGATGATATTTTTTACCAAAGATAAATTTGTAAAGCATCTCGCACAAGACACGAAAGTTACAGTTGGATTTCCTTTGTTTCTGAAACATACTACGGAAAACCAGAGAATTGCTCCATCCCTGGGAGCCAAAATAGGTCCATTGGCGCATAAATCTTCTCTAAAGATATTCTTGAATGTTGCAGTGTAATATTTCATTAATTCAAAAGGCGGTGGAATGCTTTTCATTAAATACAGACAGATGGTTTCTAGGTTTTCCCTTAGTGTACGAGTTGAATATGAACCAAGACGTCATGCTCACCTGTGGGTTTTTTGGGGCCGCCTGCTATCAATGAATGCCAGTATAAAAACATCAACAAAGTGAGTTTTAAATACTTGCGCATTTCTTTATGAGCCAAATGATTTACAAGCCTCTCTGGATACATGCATGAAAAATATTACAATTTACTCATAGGCCCTTGTAAAGAGGTGACTTTTGATTAATAATGTTAAACAAAGCCTAATTTCTCAAATGTCACGTACATCGTCTCTTTAAATTTTAAAACATTCCAGATGTGCTGGACTTATAATGATTAGCATGCACATTTGAAACTGTATCTAGTTACCGGCTTAAAGAATGCTATATTCATTAGTGGAAGTGAACGTTTTAGGAATGCACTTCTTTAAATTTGCACTACAATTCGGTTTTTAAAATCCCATTAATCCCTGATTTCAGCTCAGAGCTGTAAAGTGGATATTTGTATGCTCTTACAGTACCACCATTGAATATAAATGATTTCTAAGTCAGTCATTCTTTATTAATGCTTCATGTTGTAGCAACACTCACTATGAATATTTCAGCTGAGTAACAATGAATTGACTTCTGGGTTTGATCAAAAATAGCATGGAATGAGTCCAAAAACATTATGCCCATTATAGAGCATTTAACATTCCTGTTTTCTTAAGGTCATTATTTGACAATACTAATTAGGCCATTTTGCATGGAACGTGCAAACACTTAATGTGTAATCCAAAATGAACCAATACATTCACGTAAGCTTGCAAGCAACTCTAATAGGAAAAGGTTTAAATACTTGCTAATTTTCCTGTGGGTCAACTGGGTTTTTTTACTGGACTTATTTCAGACTGTTTAAACTCGGGTTAAAATATACACTTTATTGTTCGAGATGTAAAATCGAGAATGGTGATTTAGTTCATGCTCTATGGTCCTAGACTGTTTGTACTAGGTGGTTGGGCAGACAACAAAATAAATTATGAAAACATAAAATCCTGGTTCCAAACCAGTTTATTGATTGGCAGACAAATAATTCTTAGGAGCTGGAAATCAGAAGATGCCCCGTCCCTTCATGAATGGGCAGTAGAACTTGCTAGAGTGGCCGCATTTGAAAAAATGTCTTATACGCAAATGGACAAGCTAAACCTATAAAAATGGTACTTAACCTGTTTAGAAATAGAACCATAAAAATGTGTGAGAAATATACTGATTGTGACAGTGTAAATGTGGTATGTTATTGACTAAACTTACCTATTTGTTTTTTTTTATTGTATTTTGTTTTCATTTTCTCTTCATTATATAAAAATGGAGGCTTTATCTGTATTTAATGATAGCCAAGCCGGGACCTTAAAGTTGTAGTTAGGGAT